TGTATTTTATAAGTTCAATAATTTTACCTCTTTTTGCTACAAACACATAAAGCTGTTAAAATCAATCTGAAATGATTTTACCAAAAACTCCAAAGACTAAATTTTAGATGGAATTATATAATAACTATAATAACAGACCGGTATTTGTATTTGTATTCGATTCGATTAAAATTCAAAATAGCCGTAAAAATCCATTTTTTTTGCGTTACACTTCTAATTAATGTTATAGTGTAATTATTCTTTAATTATATCCATTATAATAATTATGGATATGCAATGTTAGTTGATGGTTTTCCATAAATCCAGCAATGAACATGTAACAAGGAACCTCATTGAAAAGAAAATAACATCCATTGCCTCATTCATGGTTAAAACCAACAACTAATAAAATACCATTGTGAACATCATGAACCCCACCACCACCCGTCCTTGTTGGAGGACGCTGAACAGACAGTGAAACTGACTTGCAGGGACAGAACATGGCTGTGATGATGAATTGGTGCTTGTTGGGGGATTGGCAGACAGTATCAGGAATAAGATGCTTTAAGTGCATGTGATTATGCATAACAGATGTTGACAGATGTTTGATATCTCTGCCTCTGCTGATTTGACTTTTGCACACATTACATATCACTTTGGTTTCATCTGCAGCGCTGAATGTAAAATGCTTCCACGCAGAACTGGAACAAGTTTTTTGGCTGGTGGAGGACCAAGAGATGGCTCAGCAGCAGCCACACTCTTTTCTATTTAGTTGACCAAATCCATGTGGGGAGTTTTAGCTACGTTAATAAGGACAATGGGAAGCTCTGCTAAGGTTAACTGGCCTATAGCCTATATCTTGCTGTCTGCAAAAGACAAGTAACTTAAATGTACCAACTCCCACAAGAGCATACAATTCAACACAACTACACAAGCATTGTTTTAACCTTTTAAACCGAACTTTAACGTTACTCTGTCAACAGCCTATTGTCTAAATTACAGAGGGTACAAAAATTCTATTCAACAAAAATAGTGATGCAGTTCAGTCTTTTATTGCTCAGCTGAGCCTTCTCTGTTGCTGTGTGGAGCAGCCTGTGTCAGTCACCTTTCACACGTCACTCATTCATCCGGTCATGCACTGCAGTCTCATAAGGAAACTCAGTTTTTTAATATGAAGTTTTTCTTGTTCCCGAATACAAATATTTTTTAAAGTATTTGTTCGAAATAAGTATTCATAAAAAACACGATATTTGTTCCTTTTCGAATACGTATTCAGGTTCGGCTCCACCCCATCACATACATTATCTGCTACACAGACATGACACACCTGATCCAGCAGGGTGCGACACCATCGTGTTAGAGATTCAGGAGTGACAGCGTGGCCACAGGACATCTCTGCTCTGAGAGAGTCATCACCTGAGGAAGAAGTGGACAATAACAGATGTATCAGTTACACTACATATACTGGGTTGCACCAAAATATAATAAACTCCGTGGCTCATGAAAAATTTAAAAAAGGAATAGGAGAAGTTGTATAATGTGTGGTAATGACTGTCAGAAAAAAATATTTGTAGCAGTTTTTGTGGGGCAACATGGTGGGTGAAAAAAAAAAAATCTTACACAGTGGATTCAGATCATCTGGCCTGTTGACGAACTTTAGGGTAGAATCTAGTGGATCGTATTGCTTCTCCACCTGCTCCGGTCCTGGAGCGCTCATTTGGGTTCTACAGAAAGAAAATCTGACACTATGAATACTGTCTGGTTTAGTCTTATGTTTAGTTTAGTTAGTTTAGTTTAGTGTAGTATATGGATTTAAAATCGCATCTGTCATTATCACCTGTCACAAGAACCATGTCTTTTCCAGACTCGATACAATAAAAACGTAAAAAGGTATTAAAGATGTATTTAAAGTACTTATGAGCCATTACATTTCTTTCTCACAATCGCTATTCTAGTTCATGTTAAAGCTGTATGATGGGGCTGAGTTTAAGGCCACACCAAACTCATTCGGCCACGCCTTTATGGAGCTTGCATTCTGCACTGGAATGTGCATGTACGAACATGTATTCATTTATGATCACGGGCTGAATAATGTTGACTCATGTTAGAAAATGTCAGTTTTCATTGTTACACAAAGCTGCTACAAAATGTGTAAAAGTATGAAGGGGTCTGAAGCGACTGCATGTTCACAGTGTTGTGTGAGCTATCATGAGCCGTTTAAACAACATCCAGGGAATTTCCAGTTGGATGAAACTGAAAGCACTAAGTGCACTAAGTGCTTTCAGTTTTGATTGCCTATTATTTTTAAATTGAAAACACTTTTAATAACAGTGATCACTCTATTAACAATGACATACATAACCATATTAGGACTACCTTATGTCACAGGTTCTATAAGATGACACAGATTTAATTAGCAAAGGAGCAAAGACTGCAAATATCAAGAGTAGGTTTAAAAAGTGAAACGTAACAAATTACCCTTTTGGCACAGCTTGTGTCGCTTTAGTTTCTGGTACTTTCCTTCTTCTTTTACTTCCCAACCGGTATGGGAACAGCAACCTAAAAGTAAAAAGGATGAACTTAGTAAGTTATTGCTTAAACCTGTGGACAAAATGTGAACCATCACAGAAAATCTAACTAAGCTTCCTAAACGCACAGAAATATAGAGAAACATATATAGTGACAACTTATTGTCATCACATAGTCACAATTTATTTTTATTTTATTTTATTCTACCTCAGGGAAACCTATCATTGGTGGCCATTATATATTATATATGTGTGTGTACCGAAGGAGTTACGAATTAAAAAATAAAATATACACCACTTAAAAACAAAGAGTGAGCTCACGTACCCGTTTAAATAAAGCTTCAATAAAGCTTCACACATGACTTCGACTGTACTTGGAGACCTAAAGGATGAAGAAGAACAGCAGACAGCATGCAGTTTAATTTTAGCATGTTACAATAAAGTGCTGTACTCGACAGAAACAGTTTACACTAAAAACAAAAAAACTATAACACAAGTCTTATGAGTGTATAAAGCAAGATTTGAATACCTAACTGGTGTGCAAACAGGGACACTAACGCGTACTCACCACGCCTCAGCAGGACCGCTAAGCGACGACTGTACTAACCTCGAGGAAGTGACATGACAGGAAGTCAGTCAGAGGAAATTTTTTTCTTTCTTTCTTTCTTTTTTTTAAATCACGCAGAGAAAATACAGCTAAATAAATAAAGCTCCGAAATATAGAAATTAAATGCACACACACACACACACATAGCGAGACAGAGAGAATAAGAGAGAGTTTCTACTTTTTCTGCGTTAACAATTCACTTCACTGATATAAATAATTAAATAAATCTATAGCAAAAACCCGCTTGAATGCTGCTTATCGATAAATGAATCAACAAATACAACAGCATAATGCATAATGTAGTTTACTCTTCTATGGATGCTCCGTCAATGCTTACTTTTAATTCATTATTATACTCTTCTGCGAGCAAGAAATCTTAGTCTTCATCCTCTACAGCAGTGGTTCCCAAACTTTAGTAAACAATTAAGCAAATACAAGTAATCTGCAATAAATTACAGGTAGTAAGAAAATAAACTACTAACTCTTTTACGCTATGTCCGCACCTACACGGGTATTTTTGAAAACGCAGCTGTTTCATCCACAGGTAAACGGCGTTTCAAATCACCAAAAACTGAGATTTTTTTAAAACTCCTTTTTTGCGTTTATGTGTGGACGAGGAATACAGAGTTGGTCATACAATGTCAAAGGTATGTGCCTTTTTCACGTCACGCTGTGCACACGTTATTGTTTACATGAGATGAATTGCAGAATGCCAGATATACTGTTAATCTGACTATCTGCAGTTTTTACATGCTTACATATACACAAGCAGTTAATGCATCACAGTGTGATTATTTTACGTGTAGTTGTTTTTTCCTGTGTAATAATATTCAACATTGCTATCAATACATTTTTCAAAAAATGCCTCTCTGTGCAAAATAGGTTTAAAAACATAAACAACTGTG